GCATCTCAAGTATGAAAAGTGCTATATAAATGAAGATTATAATAATAATAATTATTGTGATTATTATTTTATCATCAGTGGTAAGATAGAACACTGGGTAATGTCAAGCAGTTAAATGAGTGGAATGCCTCACCTCCTGGAATTCATATACTTTCTGTGTTCTCTTGATGTTGAGCTGGATGATGTTGAGGATTCCTCTGTGGATGTTGAGAACAGTTGCAGACACTTCCTCAGGGGCAAACACCTTACCCACCACACCATTGGTATACTCGAACTTAATGGGGGTGCGCAGCTGGGCAGACAGGGCCTCAGTGAGCTTTTGGGCCGGGGTGAACTGATCTTTTGGCCAGTTGCCGCTGTATTGCAGGATCTCGGGGTTCGAGAGCTAGAAGTGCACAGAAACAGGTTTAATGGATAAACCGATCTGGAATATTAGAAAATGAAGAGAAAATACATGAAGGAGCTTATTGAGTGTATCAGCATTATGTATTTTAGTCCTAGATGTTACTCCACAGAAGGTGCTCAGGACACTTCTGATGCTTTGATAAAGGCTTACTTGAAGCAGGTAGGTGTTCTGGGCAATTCCGCTGATGAGAACCTTGCTGACAATCTTCACTCCGGCTCTGGCCAAGCCCTCATTAGGGAGTCCGCCAAGGAGCAGTGCTTCATACTTGTACACGTAGGTCTTACTTGTACTAAAATCTGGTGCTGGTATAAGAACAATTCAGTTTTAATTGCAGACATGCAATCATTTAGATATTTCAAATAGTAAATGTTAAAAATCATAATTATTCAATGAGATTGTAAGAGATTGTCGTATCATACTCACTTGGGTTTATCTGTTGACTTGCTGAAAGATAAAAAAGATTACAATGTCTGAATTGATAAATACTGGCAAAAACGATATTTAGGAACATTACAGAAAAAAAATGCAATAACCTTGTATAAAAATGTGCTTTTTGATGAAATTTATATAAAAATACTGTACTTTAACAACACACAAACACTAAAATTAATTCGATATAGAATCTTTTGCTTGAAAATGTCCCCATAATGACAAATGAGTAAAGTACTCACCCACAAGGGCTGCAACGAGGGCTAAAATGAGTCCTCTCATGGCTGCTGTGGTGTGACTTGTAGGGCATGCAAGGGACCCTTTTAAAGGGTTTTTTGTGGCCACACCCATTACAAATAATGTATTTGATTAAATGTACCAGATCACATTTTGATGTCACAATGACTTTTCCTAGGATAATGAACTTGCAGTGTATGACTTAAAAAAAGCTTTAAACAAACAAAATGGATAAGTAATCGATACGAAGTTATCTGTTATCGGTTATCATGGTCATATCCAGGTCAGGTCATCCTGTCAATCTGTCTTTTCCCTTTTTAGATAAGAATCAATGTCCAATCTAAAGTGTTTTAATATGCATTTCTTTTATTTCGAGAGAGTATTTTTTGTAAGATGAAAGAGATTTGTGCATTATATTTCAAAAAGCATGTACCTTTTTTCCATATAAATAAAGCATAAATCTTGAAGAATAGAAAGTTTTATTTTGATATGTTTTATATGATACAAATAATTGTTGAACCGACAAAATTTTCAGAAAAATTATAATAAATTACTTTTTTTGTAGGACTGTACAAATCTCTATATAAGAATTCATTCATTGCATACACTGTCATTAAATTTTTTTTTTTTTAAATTAATGGTCAGTTTTCTCAGTTCTCTGTTAAATAACTCACGTGGCTCATAATTTTTTTTTTTAGAATTTTTAAGGAGGGAATGCGGAGATGATAAACAGAATACAGCATATATGTATCTATTAATTAATGCACCTCTTTTTAGGTAACAAAACAAATGCATTTCTCTCAAAAAGAAACTTCTTTTTGAACATCAGGCTTTTGGCCGTGCATTGAATTTCAAAGTGTTCAGGTCATAGCATACTGCAGATAAAGGAAAAAGGTCTTGCATTTCCTAATCCAGAGATATCTGCAAACAATTCCTGCTCATTATCTCTGACGATTAAAGGGCAAACTATTTCTAGTTGCATCAAGTACTTTTCCACGAGATTAAAATGTAAGGATAAAGTATATAACATAACATAATGAAATGCTAGGATTAAATTAAAAAATTTGCTCTACAATACCAAAGTATATCACTTCGACTTTTGTAGATTTTTTTTCCAATTTAAATTAACTATTTTTAATTGCTGTGGGGCCTTTATCTGGGTGTATTATGAATGGTAGTTGGTTGCTTCACTGCAGAGTAACATCAGAAGTTAATCAGCAGGTGCCATAAAATATTAATGGGTACATCTTAGCCCCTAAATATAGTATTTCTGCTATTCCGTTTTAATTGGTAATACAGACGCTCCTCTACTTATGAACTTTCAACTTACGACCTTTCAGACATACGAATGAAGAGGACTGTAAGTCCAAATTGTGTTTGTTGGGCTCCCGTTTCCCGTTTCCAACATCAAATTTTTTTTCTGTGCGCCAATTCCGCCTAGTACGACTTCTGGCTGCTACTTGCTCCACGCAGCAACATAGCATTGGTACTCCCAGCATCCTAGTTCTTTGCGTATACCCTTAAAATGATGTTGAATAACGACTTACGAACATTTTAAGTTGCGAACCGCCGTACAGAATGTATCTCGTTCGTAAGTGGAGGAGCTTCTGTATAGTAAACAGACTGAATTCCATCCCCATGCTGTTGGTCCAGCACTTACATTGTGGGGCTACCAACACTGAATTTCATAGAGTGATTCATGAGTAGCATAGAGGTTATGGCTTAAGAACCAAAACATTTTTAGCTCGTGGTACAACATGGACAGACAACTTCCTACATTAAAGACAGACAACATGCAACTTCCTACATTAAAATAATTCTAAAAAGTTTATTTGCTCTTTCATCTCTGGAACACATAGATATATGTTTAGCAGACACTACTATTGAAAGTGGGGAAAATAATACCATATATAATAATAGAATTAGCTATTCTAAATATGTAAGAAAATGTCCATTTAATTCTCTCAGATAAGAAAATATTGTTAGAATATTGCATTAACCCTGCTGGTTAAGAGTGATTCATGCAGCATTGTGAATTAAGAACAAGTGCTAATTTGACTTTTAAATGAATGTGATGAGCTTGTACAGCTCTTGCTTTTGATAACCAGTAATTCCTTAACTCATATTAAATCTTGGTTGGGTATCACCAACAAAGTAAATAGCAAACAGCCAAGAAACTAATCTATGATCTATGCATGGAGAAATGTGTAGTTTTTATAATATAGAGAAATATGGTGCATTTTCTATTCCAATAGAAATAGAAGAACTAACATGTAGTCCAGATGATTAGTAATACATTGTTTGAAATAGATGTTTTACAATTTAACATCCCACAAGTGACTCAGAAACTCAGCATTGTCACCAGATTGTTCGTTCCATCTCTTTAAGCACAGCACATGCGGTAATTTGAATGACCACCATGTGGCACTATTCTCCTTTCTTTGAGATGAACCTTGATCATTCAGGGCAAAGGATTGTGTGCTCAGCTTGTTATACATTACTGTAATACACATTTTCTACATTCATATTACATTGTCACTGAACAAATTTCTAAATAAATGTGTATATTCTGACGACAGATACAAATAGTTCAAGTCATTAATCAGCTTACAGATCAAATTTGATTACTTTTCAGAATAAACACATTTTCTAAAAAGAAAGGTTCGGTTTGAGATACAGTAGCCTGTACATAACGAGAATCAAAAACATAATCAGAATACTTTCATTAACCAGGAGGGAACTGTTTGTAGTCACTGACTCCACAGTAAGCCAAATATGGCAATTTCTATGTAAATATTAATAAGTAAATGCACGAATATGGTAATAAAATAAGTGGGTACAGTACTGTGGTGACAAAATACAGATTTGCTGATAATTATTCCCCAGAGATATTTATAGAAAGAGGCAGTACTGCATATGTGCCTGGAGTGGTTGGTTGTACAATCTAATAGCCGTTGAAAGGAATTATTTCCTGAGGCTCTCAGCGAAGCATTTTATGTTGAGGAGTTTATGACTGAATATGCTTTTCTGTTCAAATACAACATGGTGAAGCGGGTGAGCAGGATTGTCCATGATTGACCGAAGTCTGGACAACATCCTCCTCTATGCCAATAGTGTCCAGCTCCTCCCCAGGAACTGACCCAGCCTATTTGTAAAAAATAAAGCATTTTATTTTCTTCAGTGCTTTAGTTGAAATCTCAGTACATATTCTTTTATAGTCTATGTAACCGGTTTGTCTGCGTTGTGTGATTTTTCTATTTCACACTATGACAGAGTGTCATGATAGCGAGTTAATTTCAAAATAATTCAAAATAAACAGTTTTTGTGTAATTATACACATTCATTTTATATATACACTCACCTAAAGGATTATTAGGAACACCTGTTCAATCTCTCATTAATGCAATTATCTAATCAACCAATCACATGGCAGTTGCTTCAATGCATTTAGGGGTGTGGTCCTGGTCA